CATTCTACCATATTGGAAATGTTTGCTTTCAAGATGTAAAGAAAGCGGGAAATCCTGACTCCATTTGTCGTCATTTTATCTTGTCTTGTTCTGTTGTTTGTTTATTGTTTTGTTGTGCTGGGGATGAAACACAGGTTTCACACATGCCAGCAAATATTTTTCCAGTATAGCCATGCTATCATCTGAAGGCATTGGATCAGTCCATCAATTAAAAAATCCATTACCTTCTTGCATGAAGGATCAGGTCAGCATATACCTTCACATTAAGAAGGGAAATGTGAATGCGGCTCCACACATCAATATAGAATCTTTGTGTTATTCCTTTTGCTATAATGATTACTGTTGTTGTAACAAAATAACACTGAAGTTATTGCATGTGGATATAGAATCTGCAATACAAATTTTTTTTTGCTAGCTGCATGTGGTGGCAAGTGCCTTTCATCCCCAGCACTCAGAGGCAGAGAGAGCTAGATATCTATAAGATTAATCTGGTATACATTGCAAGGTAGAGAGTGCCAGGCCAACCAAGGCTGCATAATGAGACTCTGTCTCAAAAAAATTCAACTCAAACAGTATTTTTACTAGCATACTCCTTAGTTGTCAAAAGAAAACTTGAAGCTGAGTGGCATATGCCTATAATGCCAGCACTCAAGAAACAGAGGCAGGAGGATTGCTCAAGTAAAAAGCTAGCCAGGGTAAGCTCCATACCATCCAGGGCTACACTGTAAAACTGGGTCAATAATAATAATAATAATAATAATAATAATGAAGAAGGGACAAAGAGATGAAGAATGTATGGAAGAAAGGAAAAAAGAAACTTTAGTGCTTTAGTGACTGCTATGCACTCTCTTGGAAAAAAATGGAATATATATTAAAAAGATCAGCAGGAGTCACCTCAACACTGTGTAACCACTGTGCTGATAGGAGCCTGATAAAGCTCTCTCCAAGGAAAAGAGTGAAAACAGACCCATGTATGCATGCACAAAGCAGAAGAGAAAGAAAACCAAATTTTCAGGAAACAATGGGGACACTTAGCTGTTCATTTAAGAAAATCAATTTTTAGATAAATATTTCATACTATATACAAAAGTCAATTCCAGATGGTATAAATAACTAAATGTTAACATAATTAATAAATATAAAGGATAGTAAAATACTAATAGTAATGTAACTTTATTCTACTCTGGAAGGCAATTTGACTATATTTATGTACATCACCTATAGATTTTCTTTTTGCAGTGCTGTGGATGGAACTAAGTGTTTCATGCATGCTAAGCAAGCACTAGCACTGAGTCTCACCCCCAGGTCAGGATACATGGTGCTATCTTAAGCATGTATGCCTGGTAGCTAACAATAGAACCCCTTCATAGTTTCCCTAGGGAACTACTGATTCATATGGACATAAAGGCAATTTCCCAGGTGTCCACCTCAACACTGCTCACAAGAGTAGCCACATTGAGGGACTGGAGAGATGGTTCAGTGATTAAGAGCACATACTGCCCTTTAAGAGGACCAGGAGTTCAGTTCCCAGCACTTACATTGGTCAGTTCTCAACCACATGTAATTCTAGGTCTGGGGTTCCCATACCCTCTGTTGGCTTCTGTTGGCAGTTGCACACACGTAGCACATACTCACACAGACACAAATGCATACACATAAACAAAAATAAATATTTTAAATTAAATTTTAATTATTATTTTAGCTGTGTGTGTTTCTATATGTGTCTATATATGGGGGGGTAGCGGTAAGTGCAGATGTCTTAGAAGGCCAGAGGATTCAGATCTGCAGGAGACAGAGCTATAGGTTGTGAGCTACCTGGCATGGGTATTGGGAACTAAACTCAGGTCCTCTGCAAGAACAGTATGTGTTCTTCATTGCTGAGCCACTCTGCAGCCCGAAAACAAATCCTTTTTCAAAAATTAGTAAGCACAGTGAAATATTCTAAATGTCTGTTGGCAGAGAAGCAGTAAAAATAATAGTTGAACATCCACACAGAACACTGTACAAAATATACAGCAGCTTAAATACAACAAATAAAAATTTTAAAGTCTGAGGATGGAGAGTTGGCCCAGCAATTATGAGCAGGAATTGTTCTTGCAGAGGACCCAGGTTCAATTCCCAGCACCTATGTGGTATCCCACAAGCATCTACAATTCCAGTTTCAGGGAATCTGAAACCCTCTTCTGGCCTCTGAGCGCACCAGACACATGCTTGGCATATAGACATGAATTCAGGCAAAACACCCACACACATAAAAATAAATAAACCCTTTTTTAATGGAAGAAGACAAAGAGCTGAAGAGAGGGTTCAGTGGATAAGAACAAGTACTGCTCTTGCAGAGGACCTGAGTTCTGTTGGCAACTCACAGCTGCCTGTGACAACATCTCCCAGAGGGTCTGACTTACTCACACATATATACCCATACATGCATACAAGCAGAACTAAAAATAGAAATAATTTTTAAAGAATTTAAAATTAGGGCTGGAGAGATGGCACAGAGGTTAAGAGCACTGATTGCTCTTCAAGAGGTCCTGAGTTCAATTCCCAGCAACCACATGGTGGTTCACAACCATCTATAATGAGATCTGATGCCCTCTTCTGGCATGCAGGCAAACATGCAGACAGAATACTATATACATAATAAATAAAATGTTTTTAAAAAGCAGCATTAAAATACATAAGATATGTTAATTGACGAAAGCTAATCATTGACTAATGTATATATAGGACATGCTCACTTTTATCAATGGAAAAAGGCATTGTGTAAATCCATAGATACATAAGTAAATATAGAGAAAATTCTGAAGGAGACATAATAATATATAATTATGAGTATGCTTCAAAATGATTGGAGGCAAAGTACAAAAGTGGGAAGGTGTTATTAGAAGTACTTACAGTGATTCAATTTTGTTTTGCAGTTTTGGAGCACACACTACAGGACTATGACAGCTATGAGATTAGAGACATCTTCCCCCATCCCATTCCCAAGTTTAGAATTTCTGAATGAAAAAGAGAAAGTCCTTTGGAGAGGTGAAGGCTTGAATCGATGTTTCATAATGAAACTCAATGGCAGGAATCCCTGCATGGTAATGATAATGCCTTATTATACCTGCCCTCAGATATTCTCAAGGTGAGATAATGGTACAACACTTGCCTAGCATGTGTGAAACGTGGGTTGGGTTCAATCCTCAGCATTTCAATACATATATTCCAGCTTCCTCTTTATTTTATTTTATTTCATTTTGAGGCCAAGTCTTGCCATGTAGCCCTGATTAGCCTGGAATCTCTGTAGACCAAGCTGGCCTTGAACTCACAGATCCACTGAAAAGGAGACTCAAAGCTACAACTCACAGAGAAACAAAATAAGTCCAGAATAAATGTGGGAATTGGGGAATGATTTTCGGAGGATATGGCATTTCAAAATGGATCTGAGAATGACAAGTATTTGTAAAGGTAGTAAACGAGTAAGGTATGTGGCTATGTACCTCTCTGTCTGTAAACACAAAAGTAGTCCTGTGCCAGCCCCAGAATGGAATTAGTTAGGGTGATAAAGAAAAGGTAAGAGGCACGGTGAAGATTATGTCTCTATAACAGCAAACATATATTTTGGCAGAGAATAAATGGATCATCATGAATCAATTGCTTTATCCAGACTCAGGCAAAGGAATTATTTTAAGAATTGGAGTTGAATATCAGGATAAGATCATTTTACTAGAAAGATGGTTTTGATTGTGAGACAATCTCCTATGTAAAAGAAAAGAATCTTTTGCTGGTACATTCCATTAGCAAGAAGATGTCTTGGATACATTTGAATCTTTTGATTGCCTGATTGAATAAAAACTCTTAAAACAAGAATGAAGAACAGACATTCCCTTGGAAACTGTTCTCAGCAGTCTAGACAGTTTTTGGTACAGGAACCCTGGGTGTATTTGGTACCGGAACACCAATTGAAATCCTGCTGGCCAATGGGGTCTTTATGGCCTATTCTCTCACCTACTAACGGCTTCCTCCATATGCATTGTCCAAAGAGATTCTAGGCTCCCTGAGGGCAGGAACAGGGCCATCTATCCTCTAAATTCAGCACTATCCTAAGCACTTTTCCCTAGGTTTGCCTTTCCCCATTCAGTCATCTCTCCCATCTAAGTTTTCATTACAAGGTGATAAATATGAGGGACAGCAGGAGCCATGTTGGCTCATTTGTAAATATCCTGTGAGGTGCTGACTTCAGGCCCCGGGATTCTACTTGCTAGGTGGACAGAGAAGAGCACCAACTTTCAGCTCCTCTGCAATTTGCAGCAACGGGTTTTCCTGTAGACCTTAGAGAGGACAACTTCATGCAAATTCCACCTCAGTGGAATCAAGACACAAGAAGGGAGAGGCCTTGCTTTCTCAAGTTAGGGGTGAGTTCCACAAAAGACATTCCTACAACCCTGAAGCCACCCAAGTTCTGCTTTTGGTATGTTTCAAGCCTATGAATGTAGCATGTAAAGCAAATCCCTTTCTGCTGAAAGGGTATTCTCCTGAGCCCTCCAGCCTGTGCCGGGAACTGTTGGGAGAGCCCATGTGGGTTCCCTGGAGAGGCTGGGCTTGGAATTAACTGAAGAATCAAGAATGTGACTCTAAGGAGGGCCCTGGGCATAGTTTGTCAGTTGGGAGAAACCATCGTTTGGCCTCCTCCCCCTCCTTTTCTTGAAGGTTGGCTATCCTGGTAATTAACTGTGGAGCAGGGTCTCATGGGAGCTTGCTAAGAATGCAGAATCACAGGCTCCTTCTTTAGCCAAATCCCCAGGAATTCACATGCACAGTAAAGTTTGACAGTTGCTGGCCTAAGCCCCCTGGGCCTGGTAAATGTTCTAGTTAAATGGGGTTGGGGACACTGACCAATCTGTGAGGTTGCTATGGACAGCAGATGAGATAATCTGGTGCAGTGGTGCGGGGACCATTTGCTAGAATTTTCAGGACTTTTGCAAGCCAGTTGTTGCACTTTTGGTCGCTTGAAATTGGATTATGGCGTGACTGTTTACACCACAAACATCTGCAAACCGCACGCACCAGAGGTTTTCATTTGATTTGCCGAGATTCAGTTTACCTGCATTGCACTGGAAGAGCCTTTTACAAATGATTTGTAAGACCCCTGAGCTGGTAAATCTGCCATGCCCAGTCCATAAAGGACACTTGCAGGTCTGTCTGGACGTTGTTCTGAAGTGGGGGACTCGAGATGGCATTTGGATACCCAAACAGAAGGGATAATGGTACCACAAAGACAAGCTTCCAGAATGGACCAGAGCCTGCGCTCAACAGCTGGAGCTCATTACCGTGCAGCTTACCAGTGAGCAGCTCAAAGGCCTTGTTCTGTTACATTGCAGAAGGTCAGCACTTGAGTGGCAAAGGAAGGCAGGCCCAGAGCAGTGCCACTGGGCCCCGACTGAGGGAACCTTTGAAAACAAGTTTTGAAATCATTAAGGAAATGAAAATGAAAAACAAATCCCGAGAGAGGAGCGAACCTGCCTACCAGCTAGCTTACTTAGTGCAGCCTGCGCGTTAATAGGACATTAAGATCACGCTGAAAGGGAGAAAACCTGTTAGCCTACAAGCTCTCTGGTTCACACAGGGCAAAGATGAACCATTGAGCTATGGAACATTGGTGTTCCTAGACGACTTTGCAAGGGGTTGATGTGCCTCTCCGAGGTACTGTAAGCATTTTGTGATCTGGAGGTTGCTATGGTGGCTGCTTTTGTGTTGAATAACAAAGTGCTATATAAACTTGAGCAAATCTGCATAAATTATGTCTGGCCTATGGCTCTAGTTTACACACCCTGATCAGTAATTGAAGAAACATGTTCAAGCCCAGAGCACTGGGGCATGGGCGTGTGTTCCACCAGTGCAGGACTTTCCCAGGTTAGCTTCATACAGGGGCTTTTTCTTCCCTTCAGCTGAACAGCTAATGATTGTCAGCACACCTTTCCTGGCCTTAGTTTGCAAGCCTTTCAGTACAAACGCTATGAGGAGGAGCACTTGGTATTTTCAGATAATAGAAATCACAGCCAAGTGAACGTGTTTCCATTTTGATGCATCGAAATAAAATCCTCTTTTTTTCTATGCATTCAGTCCATATTTGTGACAAAAAAGATGTTTTCATATAAAATAAAAGCCCTAAACTCTACCACTGTTATGTATCTCTGTCTTTAATCTCTTCCTCTTTGAGCCACAACATTCCATGAAATCCAGAATCGTATTATCAGAACCTCACTGCCTTTGGTCCAAGAAATACTCTGGAAATAATGAAGTATTGTCAGTCCCCAACCCCTCCCCACTTTCATACACTCTTCCCTTCTGTTTGGCCAGTAGTTTTCATAGAGAAGTACTCAGTCAAGTTGTCTATTTGTAGGTAGTTTCCAGCCTGAGCAAAAGAGGTTGAAAAGTACCACTAGTGTATTTCATATCCCCTGAGCTGATGCATTTCAGTGCATGGCCAGGGTATGACATTTTCCCAGAATCAGTGTGGCTCCATTTCAGTTTCTGCAGAGCTGCCCTGTTATTCTGCACTCTTTCTTGATGTCCAAGACAACACCTAAGCCATACACCTTTTACTCCCTTCTGGAAATGCAGCCAATCCACAATCATACACAGGCAACATCCAGCTGGGAAAGCTACTCTCGTCTCAAAGGTGAGTGCAGTGTGGCGATGAGTCATGAGAGCTCACAAATGGCAAAACCAGGTGTCTGAGACTCCAAATGATATGAAAAGAGCTCCCTACCGGTGCTGAGGCAACTTAGTGAGATAGAACTTCAGCCCTGTACCAAGTGTAGCAGGGGAACATATGGGAACGGCTCTGATTTTTCTTTTGCATTCTTTCAGACAGCCAACTTTTACAGAGGGTAGCCACATGATCTAAGCCTGGGATTTCACTTGGCCCTGAGCCACCAGCCCTAACACATGTCTAAGGACTCACAGCTGCCTCATCCGTGGGTTCCCAGCATCTCCACTGCAGATGTGGGTTTTGCAAGCTGTGTAAAGTCTGCTTCACAAGCTTCTGTGAGAGAGAAAGATAGGAAAGAATGCACGGGTTCGAGCTCCAAGTGCCCACCCACAGGTGGAAGGGGATCCAGAAAGCTAGATGAAATCTCAGACTACTGGACATTAGACATGTTCTCCAGGGCAACAGGCTGTAGTAGAACCCTGCTGATGCCAATCCTAAGCCTCCACAGCCTCCAAGCCATGGATAAAATTAGCTTGCCCAGGAAACTGATCACCACACATTCCTAGGCAAGATTTCTAAAGTTCCTGACCCATTTCTTTGTCTATGAGATGAGATTAGTCAATTACAAGTTGCTAATACTAAATAAATGATAAAGACAAATGAGCCTTGGGCCTTACCTGAAATCCATGGAAACGTCTGCAGACTGGCGCCTAAATGTAATCTCCAGTACGTAGGACAGATAGAGATCTCAGTCCTCATGCTCACATGTGACAAGCATGCTGGTTAACTTCTGACAAGTCACTTTTGTTTTGTGGAACTCAGTATTCCCTCTGTCTCCAGGGAGGAACTTGAACTCCATGGTATTCAAGGGCAATTCTACTTCTAATGTTAAGTCACTCTGTTGAACATGTGGGCTCTATAACTTGGTGGCCCCAGAAGGTCATCATAGGGTTCTCTATTTCCGCTGTGTGCTCTCCTTAGACTTGTCCATAAGAGAAGAAGAGTGTCAGCAACACACTGCGACAGCAAGAAGCAATGAGCTCAGCCCACACAGCGAGAATATTCGCCAGTGTGGCGTTTGCCCAGTAAACCAGTTCTCAGACACATCTGCACAGCACCTAAGACAGAAAGAAATCAATCAGAAGACACACAAAGTTTGTGGGTGGTCTTTTCTTGGGATGTTCAAAACTGATGACAGTACAAACTCATAAGCTCTATCCACACTCTCAGTCGCTGAAAGACACGGGGACCCCCTAAATACAGGCCCTTCCTGTTCGTAACCATCTATAAGGCAAAAGTCTTTTGTTAGTTCCTACCCTAACACCAGGACAGCTTTCTTCTCTAGGTTCCAGATCTCCTTGGTTCCAGGATAAGGAATGAAATGTTCCCATAGCTGTTTCTCAAACAATAGCTGTGTATAAGGTCTGCCTTTGTCCTAAATTTTGCCCACAAATCTGCTATAAGCTCGAAGATCAGATAAAAGACTTGAACTCCAGTCTTAGTGTAACACTGCTACTCAGGTTGACCCTGAGCAGGCCACTTTTCCTCTTTGTGACTCAATTTCTCCATCTTTACAAATAAGAATTTCCACAGCCCTTCTAGTTCTGACCCTGAGGGATTCTATGATATGGGCCATGCCTGCAGCAGGAAGAAAGGGAGTAAGCACCTTGGCCTTGAACCCAGAAAGCCTGTGCCAAGTGGCAGAAGACCTTTGTGGAGTGCAATAAAACAGTGGTACCTCTGTTTACCCACAAAAATTCTAGCTTTGTTGTATGGATGCATGTTTTCATTTCATAACAGTATATAACATATTTCTTAGAAGTTATCTCTTTGGGTTGGAGAGATAGCTCAGTGGTTACGACCACGAGGTGCTCTTCCAGAGGACCCAGGTTCAATTCCCAGCACGCACACTGGCAGCTCACAACTATCTTCCGGAGGACTCCACACTCTCGCACAGACATACATGCAGGCAAAACAGCAATGTACATAAAATACAAGTAAATAAATCATTTGAAAATAAAAAGTCATCTCTTAGTAGATGTACACTTTCTGTCATCCTTACTTGCTGACTGCTTGCTCATTCTTTCACCAACATGGACAGAAGCCCTTGTCTCATATCCCCACTGACCCTGCCCTCTCCCTGCTCTATCTCCACTCTCCTGCTCCCTCCTCCTTCTTGACACCGGAATCCTTTGACTTCTTGGAACATTCTTAAACATTCCTTCCTCAGGGCCTTTGCACTTTTATGTTCTCCATGTGGGATCACCCAACATTTCTGTTTGTTCAGATGAAATGTCACCCACTCAATAGAGCTTTCCCTAGCTTTTCCATCAAATGTTCTAAAACACATCTACACTGCCTAATCCCTGTGACTATTTGTTGACTGTTTTACCTCTCTAGTCTTCATCACTGAAATATAACATATGTTATAAATTAACCATATCTATCATCTTTTTCTCCCACTAGAATGTAAGTTCCCCAAGATCAGGGTATTTGCTGTCTTTGTCTTCCCCTCCCCCACACACATCGATACAGATAAATGGTACAGATCAAACAGTATCTGAGTTGAATACATAAAGGAACAGTATCAAACACCAAATGGTTAATATAATACTTATGGAAAAATACAATTGAAAGAAATTTTTAAGACAAGATCTTACTTATTCCCTGCTATCCTTGAACTTGCTATGTTGCTAAGAATGACCTTGAACTCCTGAGCCTCCTGTGCCTATCGCCCAAGTGCTGGGATTGCAAGTCTATATCACCATACCCTGTTATAATTTTAATTATTTTAACTACACCATCCTCAAACTGAAAAGGCTTCCATCAGTGAGGGAAGTTTGGAGGGCCTGGGTTTAGATGACTTTTATTCCTTTTAGTTATATGTATGCCCTGACTTAAATGGGCTAATCCTGCCGGGCTATCTTCCCAGTTGCTAATCCATACTTCTGGCTGGGAACATCCACTGATACCTCAGCACATAGAGTCCTCTGGAGATAAAAGCAACCACAAAGAATGTTTCTTTGAGTGCCAGGCCCAGGGCTTAAAGACATTTCTGGCATTATCAGGGAAGTTCACAATCACCCCATAAGATGAGTACCATTTTATATTTTTATTACATTTTTCACTTTTATTTTGTGTACAACTGGGACGGGGCACATGCTGAGGACATCAAAGGACAGCTTGTGAGAGTTGGTTCTCCCACTTTGACCATGTGGAGCCTGGGACTCAACTGAGATCATTAGACTTTGTAGCAGGCGCCTTTACCCACTGAGCTATCTTGCTGGCCCCATGAATACTATTGTATGCCTGGTTTTCTGCTAAGGAAGCAGAGACTGAAGGAGGTTAAGATCCTTAGCCAAGTGCATACAACTAGAATTGATAAGGTTAGACAAAGGTTAGACTTTAAATCCAGGTCACAAACAAGCTCAAGCCCCCTTACTTCCCTCCTACAGTATGTAGCAGTGTTCTCGACACCCCCATCCCCAGCTGGAAAGTTGTGTTTGGAAATCAAAACATGTTAATGTTACCACAGTGATGAGGATATATTCCCACTTGTAAGCAGCAAAGAATTGATGAGGTTGATGTAAATGAAGAAAATCTGGGCAGGAAAATACTATTTTAAAACCTAGGTTGGGAATATAGCTCAGTTATTATAGCACTTGCCTAGCAAACATGGCCCTAGACTCAATCTCCAGTGCTACATGCACCAGGCTTGGTGTGTCTGCCTGCAGTCCCAGAACTCCAGAGGTAGAAGCAGGAGGATTAAGAGTTCAAGGTTATCCTTAGCTACATACAGAGTTCAAAGTCATCCTGGAAAACAAGGTATCTTCTCTCAAATAAATAAATGCATACAGAAATCTGTGGCAAGACAATACATCTGTAATCCCAGTACGCAAGAGGCTTGGAAAAAGGATCATATGTTTGAGGCTACCCTGGGCTACCTGCTAAGATGCTACTACCCCTACTACCTTTCCCCCAAAAGGAAAAATTACAATTTTGTTCAAACTTTACCTCAGTCTATCTAGCAAATACAAGCATACATCACCACACACAAAAAATAATTAAAATAAACATTATGGGTTAATCAACAGACTGTTGCAAGTTACATAATGAGAATATGAGTTTTCTGGAATGTAAAAACAAAAACCCCTGGTACATAGCATTGACATGAGGATAATATGTAAGAATGGATCAGGCTCAGCAACTGGCACCTAACAAAGCTTAGCAAACATTCACTTCTCTTCTGCATTTTCAGACTCCTACATGAGCATCCGCTGTGTAGTTGTTTCCAACCTCCAGGGTCCCGCTTTTGTGGGTGTCAAGGGAGGAGATTTTCACCACCTTTGGGGACAGTGTGTTTCCACTGTGTTCACTGCTTTCCTTGTCATTTTTATTGGCCTTGTGGAATTATAATGAGTGGAGATGACCTCAAAACTCGGACCCTTCTTCAAAGGAGGGAAGTCTGGAAACTCACTATGCTGTAATGTAGAATGCTTGGTGCTTCCCTTCTTTTCAGTAACTTGCCAAGACTGTTGCTGTACTGTTCCTGGATAAGATGAACAAACATTAACATTGTCCAAAGCAACTCACTTCACTTGAAAAGTAGGAAGCCTGATAATGACTCTCTCCCATGAAAGTATATCTCCAAATAGTCTGAGTTCCATTTTGTTGCCATAGTACCAACATTTTCAACTATTTTCAGTTAGCCTGAGATACTGAGTCAGGTCAGATACATCCTAGACTACCCCACTCAGTAAATGCAAATGAAGATTTGCAGGCATCTGAAGATGAATCTTGAAAATGGGAATATTTCGTAAAATGTCTGGCTAGATAATACCATAACAATAACACTTGGAATTCATCAGGTGCCTATGTTCTGAGCAACTCAAGCTCTGAATCCATTATCACATTAAGTGAATAGCACATTCCTAAGCTAGAATATCATCATGTGGCTGGTTAGTGGTGTCATCAATTCCATTCTGGAAACCACATACTGTTAGGAGAGGCAAAATGGAAAAAGAAAGGGGAAGAACAAGAGCCTCACAACTACTTCAATGTGTAAGTTCTAATCCTAATAAATCATGTCTCGGCAAAGTACTTTTGCAGGATTACACGAGCCCTTTCCATATTCCCAATGCAGGTATTAGGAAAGACTGCTGTAGTTTCCCAAGCACATAATGCCAAGTACAGTGAAAGCAGCCACAAGCTGACATCAGACCCAGTCATTGAGGTGGCTTGGCCTTTAACTTTCTGGACATCCTGCTGTGTGTGAGTCCTTTCCCTTTGTGCACCAACTTTCCTGAGCTGAAGAAAGACAGCATAGAATGGACTACTACATTTTATGATGTCCTGACAATAGAACACTTTGCACCAGACACTAGGAATCTGCATCACTTGTGGGTCATCTACATAGATATCTGGAAACTTTCCTGCATTTGCACTCATAACAGCATTATTCTTACCTTAAGAGAAGTGGAAACAACCCAGATATCCATCAGCAAATTAACACATTAAATGCTATGTAGACACATCAACACATTCATTTTTTAAATTTCCATTCCTTTTCAAACTTGCTATGTAGTCAAGGATGACCTTGAACTTCTGAGTCTCCTGTCTCCACCTCTCATGTGCAGGGATTACAGGCACACACGGATCACTGGGCCTGATTTATGCAATGCTGGAAACCATCAAACCCAGGTCTTTCTGTGTGCCAGGCAAGCACTCTACCGACCATGCTGCATCTCCACCCTACAGGGTTATTTCTGCATCTTTTCTTAACTTAGAAAGCAAAAATAGAGCCAGAAAGGAAGCCCTGTATTCTGCACCTAGCATTTTATGTCTGGTTGTTGCTATAATTGCCACGATGAGCTCATGAACAGTTTCTTCCATAGATTCTGAAAGAAGGAGGGAATGGAAATCCTTCCCCTTGACAAGTGCAACTCTGAGGGGACTTGTCCAAGGTCACACAGCTACAAAGCAGTGAAGCTGGAATTCAATCCCAAATCTATCAAGCTCCAACCTTAGTGTTTGTTTCCTTCTTTCTCTTCACAAGCAAGGCACGAAAACAAAATTCCTAGGAAATAAACTTCATTACCTTCTAAGTCCAGGGGAACAA